TCTTGAAATCTTTCAAGTCCCCAGATGTTCCCGAGTCCAAAGACAGCGATCCGGACGAATGGGCGTCGATGGATATTGTCAAAATTATCTACAAAGACGTCCCAGAGAACCTGCATATACCTGCGCATGGTGGTGTGATGCAAATACTAAGGAAGTTAGAGGAAGAGGAGAAGGTTGTCCAGCATCCAAAGACAGAGAAGTGGAGAATTCGAAACCGCGCGGCTCTCTGAGGTTGAAAGAGACGGTTGTCGAGTATTTTTTTTTGCTGAGAAACCGAGAAGAGAAATCTGAGTCGAGAAAGTGGTCTTTACAATGGCATGATATCCCATCAGATAAGTTCTCGCTAGCCTTGACAAGTGCTGATAAGAGGGTGGCATCCCCAATTCGAGATAAGGATGGCTTGAAGCTTGCAGCACGGACTCCACTTACCCCACATCCACTTGATCACAGAGCAATATATCCCAGTCGTTTCGATGCAGATTCCGTGCTTCGTTTGTGTTGTGCTCAGATATGAAGCTCTCGGAACCAGTGAGATGCCGAATGCTTGAAATCGACTGATTGCTCTTGGCACAGATGCGGGGCCAGTGCAAAAGGCAGAGAAGCCTGCAGAATGTTGCGGTGAAGCAGCGGGGATTTCGCGACATCCCTGACACTGCAAGTGATCCATACTTCGTACTCCATAGTCCGTTGAACTACCCGCAATCAAAGGCCGACCGACTGCAACAGCCTCGCTGGCAAAAGGTGGTGCGGTTTCTGCTTTTAGAGGTCGGCTTGTGCTCCAATCAGACGCGGGAGATAATGCGGAGAAAGTCTTCCGGGGCGCACATGCAATTTATCAGCGCGGATCAGTTTCCCAGCCAGTCCAGCCAGTCCAGCCACACGTGGAACTCCCGCCGGCCACGGCAGTCGATCGAAGCTGGGAGCTAACGATCTTTAAAGTTGACACCATCAAAAACGTCTTGGTCCTGGGCTGGGTCAGAAGATCGTGATCGTGGAGCGAGGCAGCCATCCTCGCATGGGCGTCACCAGAAACAGATGCAGATGCGGTGTGGCAGCAAGGATCGCAGGAGAAAGGACAGCGACGTCGACGTCCAGATTTCCACCCGCACCGAAACGTGTTGGTGGGAAGGAGAAAATGCATGGGCCATGCAAGTTGGGCAACGAAGCCGAGCCCTAGGCCGAGTACCGAGAGCGCGATGGAGTGCTGCTGGCACTGGTGGCAGGAATCCACGATGAGGGCAAAAGAGAGGGAGGAGGGAAGAGGGATAAAAGAAATGGCCCCATCGCCGTCTGCGAGTCCTGGATTTCCCGACCAGCGGTGCCGCCCTGTGCTCTTCTCGTGCCATTTTGCGGACGACGGTCGCGATCTAGCGGGGATAGACCGGGGGGCGATCGCGTCAAATATGAAGGTATTGATACTCGTTGTGTCATCCGAAAATTCCGGAGGCGTTTCCTTCGTGCGGCGTGACGAGACTGGCTGCGCGATGGCAGCGCGATCCCTGCGCTCCGTTCTGTACTTCGTACTGCGACTCCCGCAACCGCAACCCGCACCCCTCTGACCACCGTGACCTCCACTGGCCCTTGACTGGCCCTTGACTGACCCTTGGCTGACCTCCACGATGATCCATCTGCGCATTCGAGATGCATGTGCGCCATCCCGCCGCCTATCACAGCCCGGCGCTGCGAGCCACCCAGCAGGGCGCGGTCGGACGCCCACCACTCACATCGGCGCGCCATATGGTGCCAAGAGGCTACTGGTGCCGAATTGCGGGAGTCGCAAAAGAACCTCAGCCTTGTCCTGTCGGAGTGAGCAATCGGCTCGAATTAATAATGCAGCAACAGGTGGCTATCGCGGAATCAACCTCCAACCTCGCACCGTCCTGCGTGGACAGTCGGTTTTTGGAAGGCTATGAAGGCCGGACTTACGACCAAGCCCAGTCGCCGTGCTCGCCGCCCTCGGAGCGTTGCTTACATGATTGCTGATTGCTCCTTGCTCCTTGCTCCTTGCTCCCCAAGATCCAGATATGCCAAACCGGGATGGCTGCGTCAAGGCTGCGCGGGACAGCTCACCGGAGCTTCGAGATCAATGTACGAAGTATGATTTGACTGGACTTTTCCCCTTTCTGCATGGTCGCCAAACACCATCGGTCCATGTGCTGTTCCTTGCGGTAGCTATGCTGCTTCAAGCTCGGTCATCGGCCAGAGGAACGGCGGCGGAGGACTCGGTGCTGGTGGCCTTATAAACGTCATGCGCGCTGACTCTTTTTCTTTGCGCTCCACTCCTCAGGATATATATGTTTGCTCGGGCCAGTCTGAAATAATCATCTCTCTGCGCTGTGACTCGTCTTTTTAAATGCAAACATAAGGAGGATCCAAGACCGCGTCTGACTGTTAAAACTTCACCCCGCCATCGCCTCGCCTCGCCTCGCTCCTCTTCGAATTCTAGCGGAACTTCCTTCCTCGACAACTTATGCAGCCGTCATCACCGACTTTCGTGACTCTCGCTGGTGCTGTGCTGCTCGGACTTGCCTCTGTAGCAGTCGCACATGGCCATGATGAGGACATGAATATGGATGTGGGCGACGTCTCTATAGCGCGCCCTACCATTGCTTCGGCTGCGAATGTGACTATACCAGACACTTACTGGAGCTATGGCGAACACCAGGGTTTATTAACAGCACATATTGCGCTGATGACTTTCGCCTGGATTTTCATACTCCCTGTTGGCAAGTAGCTTGGTATTTGAGATTTTATACTTCTTACTAACTGTCTTAGGCGTGATGATTTCAATCGCCCGATCGAGGTATACTCTGGCAGTACAATTCCTCTTCCTGATTGTCAACGCAATCGGCGTCTTTCTGGTCACAATCTACAACGCCAGCACTCCAGATCTATACCCTAATAATGCACACCACAAGCTTGGCTGGATCTTGACATGGGTGGTCTCTGCGCAGGTCGTACTAGGAGTAATAAGTGCTTACGCAGGGCGCAAGGACGACAATCGTGGATCTTTCATGCCAGTCTCCACAGAAGCAATGGCAGAGCACCAGCGCAGACAAGCCGAAATGTACCGATTCTCGAATGACAGCGGACAAGGCACTGAGCCAAATACAGAGAGTTTGAGAAGTCAGAGCATTTCGAGTATACATTCGGATCTGCCAGATGCTCAGCATGAGCATGAGGACGAGGAACACGAGGAGAAGCATGGCCTTATGCATGGCAGTAAGGTGGATAACTACTTGAAGACGAAGATACCAGTCATGCTTTCCTCACGAGTGTTGAAAGTATTTGAATTCTTCTATAACGCCGTTGATCGGTTAATTTTAATTCTGGGCTTCATTGGATTCACCACTGGTATCATCACCTATGGAGGTTTCTTCGTAAGTTAACTTCTCTGATATAAAGTATTTCACTAACCGATGTAGACGGGACCAAAAGTCTTTAGCGGCCTCGCTCACTGGATCAAAGGTGGCGTTTTCTTCTGGTATGGTATCCTAACTTTGGGACGATGGGCAGGCTGTTTTGCCGACGTAGGATGGGCATGGAATATCAAGCCATTGAAGTCCCGTGCTGTGTCAGCTGAATTTGTGGAGAGTTTTCTCATTTTTTTCTACGGATCGACTAATGTCTTCCTTGAACACTTGGCTGCTTGGGGTTCGGCATGGAGCGCCCAGGATCTGGAACATATCTCAATAACCATCATGTTCTTTGGTGGGGGATTGGTGAGTATTTCATGACTTCACTTCATGCACGAGGCTGACTATTTTAGTGTGGTATGCTCATCGAATCAAAGCGGGTTCGAGACCTCTTGAATGCAGTCAAGCAGTCCGACGTTTCCTATGATCCTGAAACGACCGAGCAGCCGAAGAGTTACCGCACTCCGATGAATCCCCTCCCGGCACTTGTTGTCCTTCTGCTAGGATTAATGATGAGTTCTCACCACCAAGAATCCATGGTTTCAACCATGATCCACACTCAATGGGGTACCTTACTGGTCGGGGCAGCATTCGCGCGTGCAGCTACATACGTCATTTTCTACCTCTCGCCTCCAAGTTCGATCTTCCCTGGTAGGCCACCAACGGAGTTGATTACAGCTTTCTGCTTGATGGCTGGTGGGATGATTTTCATGTCTAGTGTATGTCCCCTTCCTCGCTTATCCAAAGCTCGCTACTGACATGAACAGGCACGAGACACCGTTGAAGCAATGGAGATTCATGATCTAGATGCGATGTTCATCTTCACCGTCTCGATGGGCGTAATTACCTTCCTGATGGCTTGGATCATTCTCGTCATTGCCATTAAAGGCGTTGCTGTGAAAAGAGAAAATAGATCAGCATTCTTCCGCGGGGTCGCGTAATTCAGGGGCTAGTGAACCGCAGGTTAAAACAGGCAGGAACGATGAAAATTTAAATTTGAAGGAGAGGAAGTGACGGAGGAGCCCTATAAATATATAATGGATGGATGGGTTTGATACTTTTCGCGGCATTGGAATTGGCGCGCATGATACCACTATACCACTTTGAATTTTTGGACTTCATGAGGGAGCATCATTGAGAGAGGGTGATTTAATGATAATTTGATTCTGGGGAGATTTCGAGTGCATTTTTGCTTGAGATGTGAGTGAAAGAATGTATGTGAACTGCATCGAACATTATTCGAGCAGATTTCGAATCTCGAGGTTTGACTGTGGGACGTACATTCTGGGTCAATATTGCGACTGGTTCTAGCACCAAATACCTGCCGCAATATTTTAGATGGATAGAAAAAAAGCTGTAGCTTAGGTTCTAGTCCTAAACATAATCTACAATGCCTACCTATTATTAGTCATATCGTTTTTCATACGTTTTGTGTATATCGGAGAAAAAAGTTCAGAGTCACATTCGCTTAAGCCCCCTTACTGCGGGAGACTCTCGGCAAGCACCCGAACTTCAAAAGTACCACGACTCAACCCAACATTTATAGAAATCGACTCCACGACCTCCAAAAGGCAAAACAAGAAACGTCGCGAGCAGGATTTGAACCTACGAGGCCGAAACCATAAGATAGCGTATGCTGAAGCATTCAAGTCTTACCCATTAACCACTCTGGCATCGCGACTTGATAAGAGATTATGATAAGACTTGCTTATTGAAACTTATACAGGGTTACGCTTAGATGCAGCTAAGACTGGCTTAGGCCGGCGCTAGCGAGGCGCTACCAGCCTTGCCCCACGTCAATTCACACGTGATATAGAAAATAATGTTTCTTTCTTCCTCAATCTTTTGTATCATTGTTTGTCCACCAAACTTACGGAATGGCACCTCAAAATAATGCTAAGCCTAAACGGCATAAGAAGAGGAAATCGAGGACAGAAGGTATGTTTGTTTAAAATAATCTACGTGGAGCAACGCTGACCAGACCAGTCTCCTCCGACAGCGACAGCGAGCCAGAGATCCACCAAGACGTCGTCTCGGACCAACCTTCTTCATCACAACCCGAAAAAGCCACCAAGAAAGCAAAACCCTCGTCATCTACCGTACCTCCAACCCATTCCCATCCCTTCATTCCAGTAATTCTTAGACAAGTCTAACAATATCCAGATAACCACGACGGCAAAGTCCAAATCATTAACAGACGCAGAAGTCGAGGCAGCATTCACGAAATTCTACATGCAGCGCTTGACTACCGAGTTCTCGGAAGATCTCGATAAGTTGCGCAAAGCGGATGATTTCAAGGATGATGCGTTGCCGCTTTTGATTGGGGCGCTGCAGCAGGGGACGAGTCTTTTTGGGATGGAGGAGAAGAGGAGGATTGTTGTTGCCGGGTTAGAGAGTGAGGGGAAGGAGGGTGGTAGTGGATGAATGGCTTGGGGCTGGGTCGAATGGATGCGGAATTTAGAGGCTCTGTGATGAGAATTAATTCACAGGCTAGCGAGGATTTACTCCGTGGAAGGGGAGAGTCATGGTATGCTGGTTGAGAGGAGTCTGAAGGCAAGCAGCGAAGAAGTCGACTGCACGACGAGCTGATGCTTAAATGCGTCGCGTTGTCAAGAATTGAGGATGTCGAGTCGATATCCAGGCCGCATCGGCGTGCCCACTCGGAAATAGCGGCTATCGATTACTTTACCAATCTCATATCTTTAGGTGTGTAAGCACTTACGGTAGTTTGCATGGAGCCTAAGCTCTAATGCTCCCACTGCATACTGTATCAAGTGGCACAGAAAAGAGGAGTTCAGAACACTTTTATAGCAAAAACAATCCCTTATTGTCCGGTTCGGCGTCAGACATTCCCGGATTAATGAGTCAAAATCCGGGACCGGACATTCGAATATCATTTTTGACATAACATTCCATGATATTTACGAAAATCAGCAAAAAGTAGTTCCTTCCCCATGTTGGCTAGCGTACGTTTACGTGATTGGCTGGAACACGAATTGCCCAATCAATCTGACCCCTTTGCTTTGCACGAGATCAGCAGTACTTAGTACGAAGAAGCATTCTTTATGAGTATAAGATGCAGGCCCATCAGCGAGACCCCTCTTCTATTTTCACTTCTGCATCTACGTCAATCAATGACTAAGTAGATAACATGGGGTCTACGGAAAATTCTCAAGGGGAGCTATATGTCTTCAGCAAACGCGACGAAGGCGAGTCGTCAAGGTTCGCCGTTCTCTCTATAGCTTTGTTAATGCTGACATCTACAGATTGAATTTTCAGCATAGCCTTGCTCTCAAAGTCAGCAATGGGCATCTTGTTCATCCTTCAATACCATTGTCAAGCTTGAAAGCTGTAGCAGATGTAGGGACTGGGACTGGGTAATTATCTTATGTCTCCTCTTACCATAAACGCACTGCTAAATCAGTTTAGTATCTGGCTAGAGGAACTCCATTCCCAGACAGCTCCAGAAACTCGTCTTGATGGATTTGACATTTCCGCAGCTTTGTTCCCGTCTGAGAGCAAATGCACGTACCTGCTCCAGAACGTGCTTGAGCCGTTCCCGTCTGAGTATCATGGGCTGTATGACTTGGTGCATATCAGGTATATGGTAGTGGCGTTTAAAGGGGAACAATATCTGCAGGCGATTGAAAACCTACTTCAAATACTAAGTAAGGACTCACCTACATCTCTTCCCGATTTAGTGAGATGTTTCTCGTGTACTCGGAATTGAATTAGCACCTGGCCTGCCCAGCTCCTCGTGTTCAAATTCTCCTACACAAGGACTGCCATCACTCCGCGCAAAGCCCGGTTCTTAGCCGGAGCGTGCCTGGGCACGAGCGATACATCCGATCTAGAAAGCGTATTTCTCTTAGGGTTTCGGACTAATACTTTGTATAGAACCTGGTGGCTACCTCCAATGGGACGATTTTGACTTCGAACAAGTCGTTACTATTGGGCCACCAGCACCAATGCATCAGGAGCTTCATGATATTACCAAACATTTCTTCTCCGGTTTAGGCATGAGCATCCAGTGCTCTCTCAATGTCCTTGATGGTATGAGACAAGCAGGACTCGAAGGTGTTGTAGGAGAAGAACGGAACTCCTACTGGTACGAATCCTTATCGCCTGATGCGCAACGATGGGCTTGTATTTCGTATAGTGGGTGTGTAGGGAAGGCTCTCATGTGGTCAGGAAAGGTGAAGGACGAAGAAACAGCTGTGAAGATAATGAATGAAAAGCTGGAGGTATTGGAGAAGGAATATCAAAGTGGTGTTGTGCCAAACTTTCCTCAGCGAGTTATTGTTGGAAGGAAACCTATATAGGTCTGTAAAGATTTAGGAAGGTACGCGGGGTATGGTTGTCTATGACTCTGTTGAACTTTTCAATGAACACGCTTAGGTATTCGTCCAAAGTATTCAAGATGAGAAGGAGCATTCTTGGCTGAGATGCCACTTGCACTTTCGTTTTAGTTGTTTTTCTACTTAAATAGCTTGTTATTCTTCAAGCGGTTTTCTTGCAAGACACAAATAGTGGAGAATTGATTCAACTTTTCTCTCATCATTCTCATCACTGGTATTCTCATCCAAACAACTTTCAATTGATTACATCAAAAGTCTATTCTCAACTAGAACAATTACCATGACTCGACCAGGCAAAGAGCGATCGAACAGCTACGATCCTATTCCACCAAACCATATGCCTCAACAACCAGCCAATAATAACTCCAACAACCAAGGGAATCTCTCCACTGCTGCGGCACAACAGAGTCCCCCTGACGTGAATCCACCAAACACGCCGGAAGAATCCGAGATGTTCAGGAGGCCTTCAGACCCACGCAGTTGGAATCTTTCAATTCCGAATCGTGCTTATCGCCGGAGGAATCTGAACCCAACATCGTCACTTCCCGGTACCGAGCAAATCGCATCGGAGCACCTCGGCGTTCAGGTTGGACAGCCAGGAGAGGATCTCGTTGGTCGATCTGCAGGAAATCCTGTTCCAGCAGAACCAGACGTCGGTTCCAGGGCTGGGACAATTGGCGGGGGTGACGCAGCAGCTGATGAAGAAGGTACCATTATAGCAGCGACGAGACTTTCTCAAATAAAAATCGAAGATGAAGACAATGCGGCAGGATCATCTGAAACCTCACGAACTTCACATACCCCAAAATCGCCACAACCTGAGGGATCGAGCGCCGGTTTGGAGCCTACTGATATACCACGACATCCGGTATATTCTTATAGGTTGGCTGAACATCATGTCGTAATGGCTAGTCCAGTTCTTGAGAAGATAAACGGAGACGCCGCAAAAAGGAAAAGGGAAGAAGAATAGAGATAAATGATCGACTCACTGTCACAATACGGAAAGATGCATTCTTATTGGTTCAATACTTATTGAACGGGCTACTGTTCTGGTTCTTAACCAAGATTGAGGGTATAGGATAGGGATTGAGTATGCCACTTGATGTGTTTTGTAGTATCATTATTGATCGCCATAGCACGAGGAGTACGAATAGAGGGGCTGGTTGATCTCAAATAGCAACGATTATTGCATTTGAATATCTTCCTTCAAATCGTGGAAGGCTATTGTGTCCGCGACGATTTCTCTCCCTGAGCCCATTGCTTCCGAAGCTACATCTAAGCAGCGATCGTGACTTCGACTTCCACACCAGCCTCAATATTGATAATGATCTGCTTGACAACTTCGGTGGGAGCATTGAGACTGTATAATCATTAGCACCATTTCCACAATGCGCATCCTATAGCCACATACTCAATCAGACGCTTGTGAATTCTCATCTCGAAAGTATCCCATGTCTTAGATCCTTCACCGCAAGGAGTCTTTCTGGTGGTAACCTTGAGGGTCTTGGTTGGGAGGCGGACAGGACCCTTGACGCGGAGGTCCTTGGTCTTGGCACGCTCAATGAGCTCCTGGCAGACCTTCTCGAGGGATTGGACCTTTCGGCTGGTCAAGGTGATTCTGATCTTGTGGGTTTTCTAATCGCGATTTCAATCAGTTTGCGGTCGGAACAATTTTGTAGTGGGGAGGAACGTACTGGGCCCTCGCCGAATTCCTTGTCAGGGTTCTTTTGGTAAGACATCTTGTCGATAATTCGTCCTCCAAGACTCGAACTTTAAGTTTCAATACTTAAAGATTCTGTAACGTGATGGGGGCTGATCGTGGAGTTGTGGATGTCGAAAAGAATTATAGAAATTTGGAGTTTGTGGGTTGTAGTCTTGGCGTCGGCTAGCTAGGCTAGGCTGTTTTGGGCGTAGAACGACCTCAGCCTTGCTGTACTGCACTGTCATCATTGATTGATGGCTGCGTTTGAGGCTGGGGAAGATTCGTGACTCAAACGGCGTGGTGGTTCGAGGGTTTTGCATTTCTGTGTTGATATTAAGCTGACTTTATTGTCTTGTGGAATTCCCTTCTTTAAATCTCCCAAAATCACCCCGATTTCTTCCAGAATGGCTTCCAAAACGACGATTCTCCCACCTATGGTGCCTTTTCCTGAGGCGGCATGGAGAAATCATATTGTGCCTGAGGAGTGGGAAGCTTGTTTGGACGCCTGGATCACCCTTGCCGGTGCTCATCTATCTTTACCTAACTCGGAATTTGTGCGAAGGACTTGCAGAGATGATTCGATACCAACCTTCCTCACCTCATACGTTGCAGAAAGTGCAC